TTCTGCGAACTTTGTTGAACACAAGTTTTTAAAGATTGCTGTGGTCTTGCGACTTTTTGCAATTTTCGCAATGCTGCAATTTGTTTTGATGTTTTTACATGTTTTTATAATATGTTGTTCCATGATGAACTTTTTGTTGGTGTGGATTTTTAACAACAAAGAAACGCAAGTTACAGCCGATTTTTCAATCGTACATTAAAATCCTTATTAAGTAATTGTTACTTAAAGTTAAATTGTAATTAAAAAATAAAGTGTTTTTCAAGCCAATTCAAACTGACAATTAACTAATGTCAATTTTAGCATATTTTTTGTAAGGTTGGTATTGAATTTTTGTAATCTTTAGGGATTATGAACATTTTGAACCATATTAAACCTATGAAGTTTATTTGACACATACAAATTTCAAACATATTTTAAACGTAAGAGAATGGAAAAAGTGTTATCACAAAAGTAAGTACTTACGGTTCTAAAGTTGAAATAAAATGTACTATTAGTATTATTTTATATTGTAGACAACGAAAAAGACCTACAAACTTCAGCAAGGAAGAGGAGCATTTGCTTGTTGCTCTGGTGGGACAGTATAAAAATACCATAGAGTCAAAAAAATCTGGGGCCTTTAGTTGGAAACAGAAAGAAGCGGTGTGGAAGAAATTAGAAAAAGAATTCAATTGCAGCAATACGGCAACATCTTATAAAGATGTGAAGACATTAAAAACTAAGTACTGCAATATTAAACAAATAACAAAGGCCAAATTTGCCGAAAATATAAAAAAAATACATAAAACTGGAGGTGGAATATCCTCGCCTGTTCATTTTAGCGATATAGATTCTGATGCTGATGCAATAAAAGGTGGGTAATTAGAATGTGTGCATAATTGTATTTAATAATTGTGTTTTATGGCTTTTGTGAATCTGGTGATGCCTCAAAAGTAGGTGTATCCAATTTGGAACTACCTGAAGATACCCAAGAGTTTATGTCATTGGATAACGGTAAACACAATTACTTATAGCGGATTCGACTCAAATGCTCTTGCTCGATGACAAAGCGCTTTTAGTTCTGAATTGATTTTGGGTAGCATTTTTATAATTCAAATTTATATCTAGCAATGTACACAACAAACACGAGCTAGAATTCGACATTGGTGTAGCGCATCTTTATCGTTATTTGACTGGCACAGTTAGCCCTTGACATTTCAGGTTTCTAACAAAGTTTTAACGATATTTATTTATAGTTGCCAAACCAAAAATTAAATTTCTATTAATTTCAAAGATTTTCCATTCTCACTAATAATAAAAACAAAGATGGTAATATATTTAAAAATATTAAATAATTCCTAACCTCCAAAATGACACTGGCACTGGAAAAAAGTACAGTTCCAAAAAATTCGAACTTTGAGCAAGAACGCCTGCCAGTCGAACAAAAATTTCACTATGCCTTGATACCGAGCAATTTGAGTCGAATGCAATAATTGACTTTTAATTCATTAGGTTTTGCCAGTCGAACAGACACCACTCAAAAAAGTCGAACTAAATGCGCATTAATGCAGCCAGTCGAATCCGCTATTAGATTCAAGTTTTCAAAAAGTTTTAGATAAAGCAGAGAAAAAAGTTGATGCCGAAGGTGATAAAGAAACAGACGAAAATGATTGGTCAGATTATACACCGAAAATACTTAAAAAACCAGTGACCTCTAAATTACAGCAAAAGAAAACCCAACACTTTTATCCAAAAAAATATAATACTATTCAGAATAAGTTAATGGAAGAAAAACAAAATTTTTTAGTTACAGCACAAATCATTTTTAACAGAACATCAAGAGAAATTAAAACTGATTAAATTAGAATGTGAACAGAAGACTGAATTATTTAAAAAAAAACTTATTCTAAAAGAAAAAGCAACTTGAATTAAAATTGCAATTATTAGAAAAACAAATGTTGTTACTCAATAAACAAATTGAGAATTTGGAGTTGTAATGCTGATTTAAAACAACTAGTTTTTTTTACGTTAAAATTTTGGTTTATTTTGAGATATTAGTTTTGTATGCTGTTGTTAATATATTTTTTTTTTAAATATAGTTTTTATTTGAAAATTTTATAAAAGTAATTAACTATACTAGTGTTACATAATAATTGTTAATTAAATGTAATCTTGTCGTGTTATTTATATCAAATAATCTAATACCACCTTCTTCTCTGTGGTTTGCTGCTACACCTTGGGTCAATGGCATATTATTGACTAGTTGGATGGCAGCTTCTTGTTCTTGGTTAACTGGTGGTACATCTTCTCTTTCTTTGCAGGCAATATTATGTAACACAGCAGATGCAACAATAACAGTTTGTGTGTTTTGAATTCTGAGTCTTAAACCCATGGCCAATGCAGGAAACCTTCTTTTCCATACTCCATATTGCCTTTCTACTACGTTTCTGGTTCTTATTTGCGACTCATTAAATAATCTTTCTGCTTCATTGTGAATCTCATTCAATGGTGTAATCAAATATTTTTTAATTGGGTAACCACTATCTCCAACTATCAAACTGTCACCAAACATTCTATTTTCAAATAACCGATATATATATATATATATATATATATATATATATATATATATATATATATATATATATATATATATATATATATATATCGAACTCCTAAAAATATGGGAATCATGGCTTGATCCTGGCCATCTTGCAACAATGTCTTCTATTTCGAGATTATAATTTGAAATGGTTTGGACATTTATTGAGAAAAAATTCTTTCTATTTCGGAATATTTCCGCATTATCTCCACCTGGTGATTGAACTCTAATGTGAGTGCAATCAATTGCACCAATGCACCCGGGAAACCTTGCAATCTCAAAAAATTTCTGTCTTATGTATGATACTTCTTCTAGAGTTTGAGGCATTTTAATATATTGTGGTCTTAAGGAAGCAATAGCTCTTGAGACTCGTTTAATGGTTTTACAAGCTGTTGGTCTACTTACTCCGCAAAAGTCACCAGATATTTTCAAAAATGACACATTTGAAATAAAACTTAAAAATAGCAATAACTGGTTTTCTAGTGAAAGACAATCATTTCTGAAATAAAAAGCATTGTAATACACCTTATTCATCATAATTGAAACCTGTACAAACCTGTTGGTGGGATATTTAATATTGTTACGAATTTCATCTATACTCTGTTTTTAAACTAGGAGGAGCGAATTGAAAAGACGCATTTACACAGGGAAAAGTAACTAGATTTGTTACTAAGAGCGAGTTTCGAAATATAGTGGTATTCAAAATTTATGAAATAATTATCTTTATCGGCCTTAGTCGGTGAACGGCCAATGAGCGGTTAATAAACGAATAAATGTCATACAAGTAATTTTTTAATTGGTCCCAGACAACGGTCGCAAATTTCACATTATTGTGATCTGAAATGTGTGTCTAAAACGAAATGTCACTGTCAAATTAAAGTCAATATGGTTGTTGATTGATGTCAGAAATACTTTTTTCTTGCTTTTGAAAACGACTTTTTGAGAATAACTATGATCTTTTTAAAATGGATATTAAATATTTAAGAAAATTATTAATGGAATATCTACATGTAGCCAGGTTAGTATAAAATATAAAGATATGTTTCCATTTTTAAGGATATATTTGTTATAGGTATAAAAAGTAAAAGTTAATCAGTGAATGACAAGTGGATCACACAGTAACTGGTATCTCTTCTATGAGTAATGTGGATATATATGGCTTATTTAGTGTTAACCCATGGTTAATGCGCTAGAGGGCAAATAAAGGCATTCACAAGTTTACAGGCCTATGAGTCAGAATTTGTTTTGCAAACTGGAACCAACATTTTCATAACACTACATGTCAACATATATTTTTTAAAGTGAACTATTCATACATACCTATGTATTTATTTTTAAGTATTTTTTAAATATTTTTTGTGAAAGTAATGTTAACTCATTGTGCCAAATTAAGATTGTCCCTAAAGTAGTAGATGGTGTTTTAAATATTATAACAATTTTGTAAATAGTTTTATTCTATTCTAATAAATAAAATTTGCTTGAATATTTAGTTACATTTTAATCATTTTGGTTAGAAATTCATCCATTTTTAGTTTTAAAAAATCAGTAATAAAATTATTTTTTTCTAAAATACTTCGGAATTCATCTCTTCATGGTAATCTTCCATATTTTTACCTTTTACCTTCAAAAACCAATAATGCATTTTCTACAAAACCTTCAGAATCAGCATGTAAAATAATAAGGTGTCTTCCCTTTCTTGTAAGTAAGGTTTTTCAGGAATTGCTACCTTTAATAGTACTCAGTGTAGAAGGATCCATAATTGTAGATTTTCAATACAATTGCTTACTGAAGAACTATTATTTACGAAATAAAGTAAAAAACTAAGTAATGGATGAGATATCAAATTATAAAATGTCAGAACTGTCAACAATATCAATTATTAGCTGATGTTCATGCTAAAAAGTAATGTGTGAAACTGACTGTAATCTGACCAATCAGAAGGCTACAGAATTGCCAACTTAAATTCAAATCGCTCCTCTTAGTTTAAAAACAGAGTATAGTACATTTTGTACAGATCTTTTTGAAAGTCGAAACCTATCAAAAAAATCTTTTTCGTCAAATTCTTCAAAAAAATGTGGTCTGTTTCTAATGACCTTTGGCCTTCTAGGTTCATCATCGCTGGAATACGCCTTTATATCATTCCAATAATCCATAATCACAGAAGTAAATAACAGTATTTATAAATTGTACTGTCACTTTCAAAAAAATAGGGTTAGAAACTTATAATTAATTCGTTAAAGTATACTTTTCTGCCCATTAACTTAATTCAAAGTTAAGTTGTATTTAAAATTTAATGAACAATTGAAAAACACCTTATTTGTCCTAAGTTCAAATTAACTTTTAATTGACATTTAATGAACGATTGAAAAACCAGCTGTTAGACATATTTAAGCATTATAAATTAAATGGAAACTAAATTAGTATGAAGGTAAGTAAAAAGTATATGTATAATAGGTATTTACAATTTTTGAGCACGCTGTGCAAAATTCATTGCCGCCAATGCCGCCGTCACATGAAAGCTCTTGATGTACCTTTATCCACAATTGTTTAAATTTTAATTTAGTCATTTTTTCGATAAATGTATTCGTTATACTGATAAAATAATACAGAACAACCCAAGGCCAAACAAGACACGAAATGAACTTGAGCTTTTCAACAGCTTAAAATCTAAATCATCCGTAATGTTACGGGCGAGGTTACATAAGGGATTAATATCTAACTATAGGTAATAAAAATAAATTACCTCATTTAAATATTTCTCTTAAGAAATGGATTATAACCACCCGCTGAGTTTGCGAGTGAGTGATACTTAACTTAGAAGTAAGCTGAGCCTTTGACTATAGAAAATTAATGCAACATTTCTGAATTTGGAAAAAAGCCAAATGGGTAGAAAATTTGAAAAATGCAACATTTTTAAATTTGTGAAAAAATGCAAAACTGCATAAAGGTGTTCAATATTTTCCAAAAGTTATATACATTTAAAACTGATTGTTTCTACTACTTCTACTAGTAACATATTAAACAAATACATAACCTTACAATTTCTCAACTACTCTGATGATTAGACAACACTGCAAGGCCGTGACGTCATAAATGATCTCTGACGTGTATCGGGATTTTTATTAAAAATACTTTATATAATTAGTGCCAAAAAATAAGTGTGATTCCGTTTTATAATGTGATAAAAGATTATCAAAATAGAAAAGTCAACGGAAACTGCAACCATTGCTTTTTTAAATTTTATGCAACCTCCTTTACAGTTCATCAAATTTCTAGAGGCTTTCGACGGCTAGACAGAGAAAGCACTACTGACAGGCATCCCGACGGATTTACGCAATGAAAGTACACTGCGCATCAAGTATTTCACTATTTCATTCAGACGTAAATGTCAGATGTAAATTTCGCTAAAACATTTCTTTTATTTTCGTTTGTGTTTTTTGCTCATTACAGTTTAATAGAACCTAAGTATGGAGTTTAATAGCAAATTAAGAGGCCGCGTGATTAACAGTCAAGCTCGCGAAATAATAGCCAATGTTATAGAGTTTATGAGAAGAGAAGGAAACTTTAATTCACCTTCAATACCATTTAAAAATGTAAATGATCGTGTTGCTGCAGCCACAGGAGTATCTAAAAACACTGTCGTCCGCATTTCTGGAGAGAAAAAAATAATCGATAACCGTGAGATATCGGAATTTTCATCACCAAGAAAAACCATTAAAAAACCAAAAACAGTTAATGATATAGATGAAGCTGCACAAGAATCAAATTTTATTTTTTTATTATTAGATAGCTATTTTTGTTTCTGAGTTGTGTTCATTTACAGGCTCAATTTTTTTCCGTTTCTCCTTTTTGATTTTATATGGGGTTTCAAGTTGTTTTTGACTTATTTCGACGTAAATCACAACAAAACACTTTTTTAATAAAGCAAACAAGTGTTAAGAGGTATATGTACGTGTAAACTACAATTACAAAAAATTGATATGAAACCCTTGAAACCACCAACAAAAATGTAAAGCTAGCTTCCGTACTAGAACATGGTGTCATTCGTCGAGATAATTTATCGTTTTGTTTAATAGATCAAGAAATGTAAATATTCCCCTGTTATTATTTATAAAATTATAAGAGAAATAAATTTTTTTCTAAATAGTATAGTTTATTATTTTGTAGAAAAACAAAATTTCGAAAATTTTAGTAATGTTTCAGAAACAACCGTTATTAATAATAGGTACCATTTTCCTTAATAAGGTAGAAATAAAATATAAACTATTTCCACGATTTACAAAGGCCTACAAAAAAATTATAGGTATTTTCCGCTATCCTATAAAATTTATATTTTCTGACTCAATTTCAAAAGGTTGAAGGAATTCCAAAACACCTTTTATGGCATAATAATTATTTTCAATCCTACATACTATCTTTAGCTGCTTCTAAAAACGTTCTAAGAAAGTCCAATCAGACCAATTTAATCCCTAAACTATTCCACACTTTTAAAATTTAATTACCTAAAAATATTAAAAAATATTTAAAATAACTTGTTTAGCAGACTGTACAATAGCTATCTTAGTCACACGTAGCGCGTTCTCTGTCTGGGCGTCGAACACCTCTAGAAATTTGATGAACTGTAGATAAAAAGAGATGCGTGGGCGTACCTTTAGTTGATCTTTCAAAAGCTTTTGATGAAGAATAACATTGAATAAATTAAGTACCTTAACATTTACTAATAATTTTCTTTCATGATTAATATCATAATCAGAGATATTTCAAACATGGTGTAGACAAGAAACAATCTTAGGTCTCTGATTTTTTTGTTATATATGTTGCGGCTGAAATGGATACTTAGCAATTTTGCAAATTAACTAAAAGCGCTGTTATTTTGAAGTAGTCTTCATTTTCTTGCCAAAAAACAGCTAGTGTACAAACTAGTCGGTTAGTATGCAAACTTCTACAAAATGTGGTTAAAATAGAGGTTTTATATAAGTTTACTAAAATAGCCGCTACTTTACAAAAATATCGTCTTCGTATACTTACTTTCGGGTTTGCAATATTATTGATAAAAATAATAAAAAAATATAAAAACTCATTTGTAGTTAGTACACTATTTCGCCTCTTAATCCATTTCATTTTTGGTTTCAGGAATGCTCAGTGTTCATATTCGAGAAACGGTGTGCCGAAAAACTCCATAAACCCAAACGAAAAGAAACGGTAACAGAAATCCTACGAGGCAGCGTTCGACAGCTGGAAAGGTACCGCCACCCCAAAATCCTGCACGTCCTTCACGCCATCGAAGAGTGCGCTGACACTTTGGCCTTCGCCACCGAACCCGTTTACGCCAGTTTGGCGAACATTTTGGCGTACCACGAAAGCACCGTCAACCATGGCGGGATACATTCCGCGCATCATCAGCAGCACCAGACGCAGCAGAGGCCGGCCAATTCTAGGGAATACAATTTTTTGGATTTGGAATACAAATACGGGATATTGCAGGTGAGTCATTTTTGTAGATGATCAAATAGAAAAATTACGGAATAAAACGAAAAAGCGTTTGATACACTTTATAAGATACCCCAAGTAACTTCTAAAGCTGGTTATATTGATTTGACCAGCAATTAGCTAATGTATAGTAGAATAAGCCAACTGGCTGATCAATAGGTTGCATAGAACCCTCTTCTGCTTCGCTGTAAACCCTTGTAGCGAAATAACTTTATTAAATAAAAAAATAATTTTTTAAATTTTTTTATTTTAATTAACAACTAATCTACTTTGATAAAAAGTAAGGAATGACAATTTTACAATTCATTATATATTTATAAGTTAGCTTGTGCTGACGCAGTAGGTTGAAGACCGGCTTGCAAGCTTGCATATAGAGTTCATATAACTCCTCCTCTGTTAGATGAAGGTTTCGGGTTCTTTAGAAGTCGAAGGCTAAATAATTTTGGGTTACCGTTTCTTTTTTGAATAATTTCTTCATATGTTTGTTTTTCCACAAAAAACGAAGGTTAGGATTGCCAGAATACTGATTAAAGATCAATGGAGCCAATTTTTTGATTATAGTTCATCGATGTCATCTATGGAAAATTGATTGATAGCTGCGTTGATTTTGAATTTTGTGTATGTCTTCTAATGGAATGCTGTCTATAGATAATGGTGTTTGGTTCCAAGTATGAAGATGTGCGTTGTCACTATGAATGGTATGTAAAATTAGTGGATTTCCGAAAGTTGTGGTGGTGCAAATTTATAATTTGAAACTTTAATGCTGCAATTTTTTACTCATGTACCAAATAGTTTAGGATCCCACTGCAAAATGTTGGGTCGATCACTAGTATGGCTAAATTTTCATAAAAACGTCGGATAATATATTGTACAATAGTAATCTGTCGGCAGCCGCCCCAATATCGTTTGCGTTTTAGGTTATAAAAAATTATTAACAATTGAAAATATGTGCCACCCTCCACCCATCGCTTTTTTGCCAAATTTTCTACTTATGAAACAAATACAAAAAACTCGGATATTCTTTCTCTCTCACACATAACGTTAGCAGATATGGAAAATGCATTTGGTAAACTTAAACCAAAAAAATCTTCCGGTACGGAAAATATACCTTGTTACGAAATTAAGGCATGTAAAGAATACCTGCTATATCCGCTAAAGGTCATTTTCCAAACTTCATTGAAAACATCTGTATTTCCCGAACGGCTAAAGGAAGCTAAACTCACACCAATTTTTAAAAAAGGTAGAAAAGATTTGATTTCTAACTATAGGCCTATAGCAATTCTTAATGCTGTAGCTAAAATATTTGAAAATATTATTTATGAAAAAATGTTCTGGCACGTTAAAGAAGCCATTTCGCAGTCTCAGCATGGTTTCTATCTAAATAGATCCATCGACACAAACTTGGCTTGTTTTATGACAAATACCTCAGTGGTCACCCATCAGGGAGGGCAGATGGATGTAGTGTACACAGACTTTGCCAAAGCCTTTGATAAAGTTGATCATTCTATTTTATTGCGTAAATTAACAGCATATTCATTTAGTAAGCCTTTCATCAAGCTATTGTCTAGTTATTTACTGACAAGGAAACAACTCGTAACATTTCGTGAGAAATATTCTAGAGAATTTTTGGCAATGTCAGGAGTTCCACAGGGATCAAACCTCGGCCCTCTACTATTTTTGCTTTTTATCAACGATTTGTCGGATAACATGCTAAGTAAGTCCTTACTTTATGCTGATGATTGTAAAATATTTAGGAAAATTAATAATCAGAATGACCATGATCAACTACAACAAGATCTTGATAAATTATATAATTGGACAATAAGAAACAAACTGGACCTTAATTTAAATAAATGCTTTATTGTAAGCTATACAAAAGTAAAAAATATAGTTAAATACAGATATATCATAAATAATCATAACCTTGAAAGAAAAACTGAAATAACTGACCTTGGGGTAATTTTTCAAAATACATTAAATTTTAATAAACATATTCAAAAAATCGTACATAAATCAAAAAAAATGCTTGGTTTTCTCAAAAGAACTACATATGATTTCAAAAATATAGACACAATTAAAGCACTTTATTCTTCTTTAATACGAAGTAGGCTGGAATTTGCAACAATTATATGGGATCCTGGGATATTAAACTTGAAGAAACTTCTTGAGACTGTCCAAAATAAATTTATTGCCTATCTTCACTATAAAAAATTCGGTCGTTCACCTGACCAAACCTCTTACGAAATAATAAGAAAGGATTTTAAATTAGTCAAATTGGAAAAACGAAGAATTAACCATAAGTTATTGTTTTTGTATAAACTGCTAAATAATAAAATAAACTGTGAATTTTTACTATCTGAAATTAAATTTTATATCCCAGGTTATGTCGTTCGGCCTAAAAACAAACTTTTCTTTATACCAAAACACATGCTGCTATTGGATAATATCTGCTGCATATATAATAACCACAATACATCTTTAAATCTGGATATATTTAATATATCACTTAAAACTTTCAAATCCCACCTGTTAAAATCAGAATTTGCATAGAGATTTAAATATTGTATATATAAAAAAAAAGATTCATTGTGAAACATGCTTACCTAATTTATATTGATTATTTTAAGATTTTCCAGATTTTGATTAATGCAATGAATATTTTTTATTTTAACAATCTTATTTATATACTATTTTTAATTCTAATGGAGCATTGGTAGATGCAAGTAGTTATAAGTTTCGTAAATTATTTTTGTTTTTGTACTTATACTCGTATATATTTTTTATTTCTTTCTTCTTTTATATTAACTTTATTGGGAGCATTGGTAAATGTATTTAGTTGTAGTTTCATTTTTCTTAGGAGAACATGTAATAAGGTTATAAAACCTGTTTGTTTTCTGTTAAATAAATAAATAAATAAATCCACGCTTTAGATAAGTAGTTTGGGAGTGTGCGCACAGCTGACGTTTATTTGACATCTGTTATTGTCTCTGATTGGAACACGCGAGTTTACGATTAAAGCTAGAGCGTCTCGCTTTCATGTATTCTTTGAATATTTGTTATTCTGTTGTTTTTATAAATATATAGTTTATGTGTTGTTTTTTTATTGTTTTTATTTTTCGTTATGCTTAAAACGTCCCTATATATCTAAAGCAGAGAAAGTAATTAATGTTCAAGAGAGGTAAATAAATAGAGAAGTCCTAATTTTGTTTAGTTTTTTGCAATTTATAAAATTATACATTGTTAAAGTTAACAAAATGTGAAAAAATAAGTTTAAGAATATACACTAAATTCCTCGGAATAATCGCTTTCTGAATAATTGATATCGGAATGAACACCGCTGTCTCCCAGATAGCACAGGACGTCCCATGGACGTCCTGATTTGGTCCCTTGTTGGTCCGGTTGGTCCCGGACCTAAATAGGACGTCCAGTGGACTTCCGATTACCGTGAACACAGGAACGTCCTTTGACAGACGTCCTCTGGACGTTCTATTTTAGTCCCATTTCGTCAAAGCGTTTAGTTTTCGGTCCGAGTCCAGGACGATAATGGACGTCCATGGGACGTCTATGGGACTTTCTATGTACTAACATCGTTGGTCTTTAAATTGATAGCTTGAAATTCAACATTTTGTTTTTGCAAGAGTATGAGGACAGAAAATCTAACCTATCATTTATTTTCAAATGACCAACAACAGTTACAAATTTCGGAATTAAATAACTTATATAAGTGAGTTAGATTAAAAAAAAAAGGTTATTTGTGTTATTTGTTATTTTTTTTATGTTGGAGGTAAAGAGGTTATAAGTGAGTGTTTTTTGTTGAGGTGAGAATAAGTGATGTGTATTGGCGGTAGCCGCTGGCGAAAAGAAAAGACCTTAATGGCGAAAAGTTGGAACAAAATAAATTTTATATCGACACAAGCTATAAGTAGGACCCAAGGTTTCTGTATGGAAACGGGACATTAGGACGTCCATTGGACGTCCGATTGACGTCCCGGTACCAAAATAGGACGTCCCTTGGACGTCCTTTATGTCCCTGTAGGACGTCTTTTAGACGTCCATAAGACGTCCGTGTGCTATGTGGGCATATTACTCGATAATTTCGTTCGCGTTGATAAATAATCATTTCTTTCGAAATACAATTATTTTCTTACGGACAATTCCACAACCACTTAATTTTTATTTGTTTCATTTAATCTGCATTTAATGCAGTAGATAGATTTATAATCACATAAAAAGTCAATACGTACAGTTGTTTGCAAATTAATATTTTCAAGTTTAAGTTCATCTCGGTATTTTGGGTTCAAAGTTGTTATTTTCTTTAAACATTTCGAATGATATTCGGCGTCATATTGGTTTAGCAACAACAAATTTCCGTATTTAAATTTTTTTCTTTGCGAAATTCTAGTACACTGGTTTTTTTTTAAGTTTCGTCGCTGCATTTCAAGAAGTTACCGTCATTTTTGCATCCATAAAACCAGGGCGGCTATCCTCGACAATCCCTAAAAAACGAACCGTTTTCGAAAGTGTGTGGTTGAGAAGCGAGTAGTTTTTGAAATCTATATCCCTGACTGGCGCTCGATGAGCATTTGTTTTTTAAAACGTGTACGTTTTTAACAAGCAAATAATGTCTGGCTTTACCGTAAAATGTCTCTATTGTTGAATTCAAGTAATGTGCAGGCCATAAAAAAATTAGGATTATTGCCGGGTTTGAATATCCACATCCGATACATTTTTAATATCTCAAGCGTTTGTTTATCCACATCGGAAACGTCTACTATCCCAGATGTAGCTGTCCAGATTACATTTTTTTACATCTCGATTTGAAATGAGATGTAAATGAGATGTTCGTTCCATGCCAGAAAGTAGGTGTTCTGTGAAGACAAGATTAATTTATCCTTTTTTTATTATAGCGTGAATATAAAAGTGATTAGTGTGTTTAATTTTTGTTTAGATTTCAAATTTAGGTTGATTTTTAGTCTCAAAAGTCAAATTTAAAAAATATGAACTTCTAACTTTTCATTGTCATTTTGTCACGTGACCAATAAGGTCTAGAGCGTTTGTTTATTACATCTACGTTTAAACTTAATCCACTATCACGTGATAAAAATTCACAACATTTCAGA